TCTCTCTCTCTCTCTCTCTCTCTCTCTCTCTCTCTCTCTCTCTCTCTCTCTCTCTCCCCCCTGCTCTCTCTTTCGTCTCTTGCGACACGTAGTATCACGCGAGGTTCCTTTACCTTTCTTTTATCAGAGAGAGTTATCCGATCGGTTATTATTTTGCGCGTTCTCTCTGACTCACTTCTGGCGCATTCTCGACATTGCACGTGGATTTAGTTGCCATACGGTTCTTCGCGAATCAACTCGCAGCCTTTCTTTCTATGTATATAAATATACTGTTTACTTTTTTTGCAAACCCTTGCCGTAAATATTAAAATCTCAGATTTTAATAACTCTCTGATGATTCTCATAAAAACTGGGATATTTTCTTTGTCTATTTCAAAGTATAAGGTTTAGAAAAAGACGATCGCGCTCGAATTTTGGCTGATTTTAATGAATGATTGTGTTTATTGACGAACCACAACTACGACGAAGCAAGCTCATAATTATTTATCGGCTCACAGATCGCGATCGATGATAAATCGTCGCACGAGTCTGCTGCTACGTTTGCAAACGTTACGTAACCATCGAGTTTATGAGACATATTAAGGCACTGAGGCGCGCGCTATTTGAACGAACACACACACTTGTACGACTGTACTTGTACAAGTGTGTAACGTAGATCTTCGTAAATTGCGTGTGAAAAGTGTGAGTCAATGGGCGAATCAGTAAATCTATTCGATATTGGCCTCCTTAATTGAGATTAATCTGTATTTGTCTATTAAATCACTCTTCAAACTTTTTAATCAGCGAGCCATCGTTCTTTTTTTATCCTCTTTATATTTCAGTTTTCAAAATGTATGTAGACGAGTCTCCCACAGTCATCATATCGAGCCGGGATTAGATTCGTTCGTTTGCACAGCAGTCGAGACATTGCGATTATTTTCCGTCTCAATAAAACATCTCGTCTCGCGAGGTGCATTACATTAAGGAAAACCTTCAGTAACTGCAAGTCCGTATCACTTCGAGTCCGTTGACTTCGCATTCTCCCTTTCATCGGGCGTCTCGCTAAAAGCGAAGTGGGCGACAGACTTCTCGTGTGGTACTTAGCGTCTGATGTCGACGTGAAATTTATCTTATCATTCGATGTGACTCGTATGAATCGCGCGTTCGCGATGGAATGGATGACGTTCGCGCGCTAAAATGATGACGATGACTCCCGATATCGTATTTATCAATAGAATTAACCGCTAACATGTTACCATGACATACAATTCCCTTGATCGAAAACCTTACTGAGAAACGTATCACCATATGGAACAAAAACGTTTATGGAAGAAATGTTTGTAAGTGCGAATGCAAACACAATAATCCTCTGTTTATATATACGCGATTATCGCTTCAGCAGTCCTGCATTTAAAAAAAAAGAAAAGAAAACTGAGTGTACCGTTATCTAGTCTAAAGAACTTCCCCTTTTTAAAGCAAATTTAAATCTCTTTCTATCGTCGTACATATATGAATTTATATTTCATTAATTCTTTTCATTATTATTTCCCGGTCTTTGTAATAATTCTCACTGTGTGTGGAATAAACAAATATCCGGATCGTGATTTATTCTCGAACAGAGGCATAAAGCAACAAAGCGCTGTTATGTTTCGGAACGCAACACAAATTCGTATTGTGTGCATCCTCGCGAATAATATTTTAGATGCTTTGTTTCTTCGTCGATCAGCATCTCATTTTCATTCACTTTATACGTAATGAAGCCGCGAGCAGAACATGTAAATTGTTTCTCGGCTTGACACGTTTTATGCTATCACGCGGAAAATATAATCTACATTCAGCAGTCCGCGTGCTACGATGTTCGACACGAGTGAGAGACTCGTCAAAAATTTTCCAGCGGTTACGTAAAACTATGCGCGCTTTAAGAAAATTGGACGCGGCGAATTGATAAAGCTATTCTTGAATGAATTCGATTTTTCACGCTCGCGCGCTACGAACGTACTTATATTATCACGGTATTCTCGGAGCGATGCCGCGGCTCGCCGATTAGAGTTCTTTCTCTCGCAACGGTTGCTGCGTGGCCCGAATAGATTTACATGTCTGAAAGGACTATTACCAGGAACGTGCTTGAAAAATTTCTATTGTTGGCGAGGTGTAAAACACAATAATGCATATTGCTCTTAAAATTATGCGATAACTGACATTCCTTTGCGAATATTATTGATTTTCTTTTCTCTGTTTATATTTCTCGCCATGTGGCGATAAACTCTGGATTGCGAAATGCCTACGCGTCGCTCCTACCTAAAATCCTTCAGAGAAAGATAAACTACAAAGAAACGGGTCCTCTCTGAGGCTATCAGATAACGATGATTTTACACTGAGAAAAGGTATTTGAAAATTTACTTGTAAGATATAAAGTTTATTCACCGAAATAAACTCTATTTTATTGAAAAATAAACTTTACATCCCACCAATAAATTTTCAGTATTTTTGCTTAATGCATATTACCATATCGTATGATTATTTTGATTAATAATTTTCTTAGTTCTCTAAAAAAAGAATGAAAAAGGTAGAAAGAATAGAAAAAAGATCCATGTTTTACTTCTTTGAAAATTTTCAAATAAAAAATTTTTAGGGCAAAAGTTATAGTGATTTGAATTTAAAAGTGCATCAATATTTCTAACGATAATATATATAAAGCATTTTGTACGAGTCGGAGATTTATCCTCAGTATTAACTTCACTCTCGAGCTTATTTGCAATATACGTTGATAAAAATTTTTGTTATATTTACCGATACTGTGTGTTACTTTCCGAAGGATTGACCTTAGTTCGTCAATGATACTCCGTACAAAAATCATGGAGGAGATCGCGGTCAACGATGACGAGCAAATCCAAGCATAGCTGTCGTCAAGAATTGCATATATAAACGTTCAGTCATCTTATCGTAGATAACCGTTTCAAACTATTCCATTGCGCTTGAGAGACACCGTGGTGTCGTACGAGACGACGACGAATGTCGTCTCGGTCACGTATGGTAGGCCCGCGATGAATGGATAGCTCTTCGTTCGGCGACGAATACCGATGACGAAAGAGAAAGAGATAAGCAAATAAATAGACGAACATAGAACGAAAGAGAGAGAGAGAGAGAGAGAGAGAGAGAGAGAGAGAGAGAGAGAGAACAAGTCGCAATGCGAGGGTGGTGGACCGTACGGGAAGAGACGGTGAATAGAACGTGACGAGACTCGGGAATGTCTAACGTTTTCGATTTATCAGTGTACACGTGTTTCAGCACTGGTACAACTGATAGACCGACAAATAATTATCGTGCAGCACAGAGGAATCGTTGTACTAGCTCGGATTTAGTCGTCCACCATTAATATACGATCTCTTCCTACCAGCCTGTGCTGAGTCGTTCGCTAAACTGAAATTAGTACGGTGTGAAATGAAGTACAGAATTAATTGAAGAAACGCGACATTCGTCGATGCTCCAACGTCATTTGTTTCGCCTCTTGTACCACGTTCGTGATTAAAAAAATAGTTCGCAATAAGAGTTGCAATTATTTTTCACGTTCCTGTCGAGAAGTGATATCCCTCTAAAATATCGTATTGACAAAACTTTGAAAGATTCGTGTAAATCGGAGATAAAGCAAATTCACTAATTGATAAAATAGAGAAAAGTCAAAATGTTGAACCACATTTATACACGTACTTTCATACATTTCTTCGTCAGACCGAAAGAAATTCGAAATCTATCAAGAGTTGAAAACTATTGACGCTCGTCGACAAATCTACATTTCTTCCGTACGAGTCACACTTATTGATTCTTCGTAGTATTAGATCACGACATACGCGTTGTACGCCGTTGCGTCACTCCATTGGGACGTTTCATTCAACTTGAAGTCTTTCGTACGAAGGTCAGGCAACTCGCGTCTATTGCCGGCACGAGCACTCTCTCTCCATTCTTTATTCGCTCCGAGCTGTCCCTTCCTTTCCTTGCGTTATGCCTTTCTTCCTCAGCATGCAACGCACATTAGCTTCCCTTCCTCGAACGTCCAACTACTACTTCTTCACTTCACCTCGCTTATCATTCGACGTATAAGTCTTTCTTCCCAAATGTTCCATGATTTCTACTATTCTTTCTAATTTTTTATCTCATGGAGCTTTATCAGTTATTTGTTATCTTGTCTTTTTGCTGAGCAGTTGTCTTTCGTATCTCTATTTTTAATTGAAGTTACCTTTCCTTTATATTTCTATATAAATATCGATAATGCCTCACTCCAAATATTGTTAAATATATATATATATATATATATATTTTTTTTTTTAACACGTATGTTAAGAATATTACCAATCGAGATATTCACGCAATGACAAGGGATTGCGACGTGTTTCATCGTGGTTTGTGTTTCTCTGAGCGATTTGAAGATTTCATACTTAACAGATCTTAGTATATTGTAAAATGATGCACGACATACGATGTATGTCGCGATGAAACTCTTTATCTACATAGGTGGTGTATGTCAGGTCGGATTAATGATTTTTCATTACTTAGCGCGACGTCCGATGCATGGGCAGCTTTCTGGAAGCCAACGGCATCACCGATGGTAGCGGTATGCTGACAGCAATGGCAAAATTGTTGAAACAAGAGCTGGCTTCCGACGCCGAGGAGGAGGGCCTGGTGCCAGCACTCTCCGGCAGATTCACCTCGATGCAGAAGGTGCCTTCCCTCTCGGACCTCTCCGATCCGGAAAGCTCCTTGGGTGAGTCTCTTAATTGATTTCATTGCTTGCCTTTTCTATCGCTCGAAACATATCACAATGTACATATCAATATGCACAAAGTACAAGTGGCTAAATGTCACAAAATAATTTCATGATTCACAATTGAATTAAGCTAAAATTTGCACAATTTTTTTCTTTATTCGCAGTATATTGAATAAACATTGTTTTGCAACATAGAATTATCCTAAAAAATGGAAGGCTATGTAAATATTTTTTTTAGCCATTAATATATGTTTTCGCATACATCTCGAGCTGTTGACACGCGTAAAAGTAAGATTATTGACCGCATTGTTTTGACAAAAAATAGGCTGACTGATTATATATATATATATAATATAAAAATACACGTTTATTATTATCCAAACGTTCTTAAAAAAAATGCTTGGATAAAATTATAAGTTGATAACATAAATATTTTTAAATTTTTCAAGCAACGTATACTTTGATATATAAATTAATATTTAATATCAATATTTAGTAATCTTGAAAAACGCGCGTATCTTCTTTTTAAATGTCGTAATATAAAAATATGATATTGTTCTTAAACGTGCGACATTTCATTGTGTTGCTGGCAGCAAGTACATGTCAATGGCGTGAGAAAATGCGCCTACGAGACTGTTTGCTCAGACAGTATAATAATCGTTCAGCCTAATATTTCCATTAAGCGGTCAGCCGCAGTCGTGATGAATGATTTTGTCAAGTTTAAGAGCCACCTGCTCGCTAAAACATGCAATCGTGAAAGTATTTCGAAGACTGCTTTGTGTTAAATTTCGATATATATGGAAACGGTAAATACACTTTCACGTCTGTCACTTTTTTCACATCTGTCTGCGTTTATATACAAAGACAATAAATAAAGGACAAAGGTGAGGAGTGATATCTGACGCGAAGAATAGTAAAATCAGCTCTTTCGACGCGTCTTGAAATATGATCGACTACGATGCCCCGATATGGTGTTGTGTTAACTTCGGATCCCGACACTTAAAAGGTACACTTACACCCGGTGACGCTTGCATAATACGAGCACTAGCTGCGCGAGCTCTCACTCACACGTGAATGATTTGTCCAATTAGATCGCGCTAGTTGTGCCGTGCTTCTTGCGATACGCCAAACGAGATGTAGCGGTATCTTTATCGTAACCCTGACACGAGAAATCCTTTTGAGCGGCGTCTCTTAACAGTAACGACATATTATAACATATTCGTACATTAACTTAAATCTGCGCGCGAAAGTTCGCTTTTTCCGTAATTGACAGAATGATGCAGCATTGTGCTTCCTTTATTATACTACCATGTCAGCAAAACGTACAAAGAGTACCATGACCGTTGCTCTACACCGCTTTTTAAACACGCGTGAATTTTCTCAAAGAAAATATGAAAAATCTGACATTAAAGCATTTAATTAAAAAGAGACTTTGTTATTCTGCGGAAATGTTACAACACAAGCGAAGTGATATATCGGCATCCTGTTATTTGATATGAGTATTATTTATCGAAATGTCATATAAACTTAGATTTTTACGCGTGCGTGTATATGCAAACTTAATATGCGCAACGTAAATAGCGATTTCGCACAAAAGCTGTTGCACAAAGCGACTATTTTATTTCCACACTCTTTCCGTGCTATTTGATTAATGCTTTAAATAACGCGCGTGAAATTAATTTCCTAATACGGCGAGAAAAAGTGAGTTTCGCCGCGCTGGAAATCGGAATTTTCTAGGACGAATATACGGTAGAATTGAATGAGCGAGCAAGTGCGCGCGAGTCATCCTTGTTACTCGCGGCTCGTCGTTCACGATCAAAATGTAGCGAGAATTTACGAATTGGATAATCAGCAGCATCCTCATTAAAGCCCCCCCACTGAACGCCCCCGCCTTCCATTCTCCTTCGGTCGCGTATGTGAGTGCACGAAAGGCTACACGTACGCATCAGACGCGTCGCGTCGCCCCCACCCATTTATCCGCTTTTATATCCGAGAGATAGAGCACGGGGGAACGAGCATTTTTCAGTGATTTTGTGTCTTTTTCTAACGACTAGGCTTACGCAAGCACAACTCGTAAATCACTTATAAAAATATTTAGTCCTGAGACAAGCGAATAGTAAACCGCGTTCTCTAAACAATTGAATCAAAACGACAATTTCGAAGTATCCTCCACTGTTGTAAAACTCTTCCCCAACATCCCTTTTCTCTTTCACATTCTTTAAATGCAAAATAATATTTTATTAATTATCTAAGCATTTTTTAATGAACTTGGATCTACAGTAAAAGTAGTTTCTACGAAGTATATAAAAAAATAAAAAAAGATTCGTTCGGTCAGTACTAATAACGTATTTGCTTAAATTCCTTTATTCAAATAGGATAAACTTTTACAAAAAGTTGAGGTTTTAAGAAAATGTACATTTGAAAAATATCTCGTATTGGTACAAAAGAAAATACATGTGATTAGTACACGCCGAATAAATATTTTTTTCATCTCTTAGATATTCTTTCTTTCAGTACTCCCAGGGTATTCTTGAGTATGCATCTTCGGATCTTGAATATTATATTTCGCGGTGTTACCATTTATTGTACGGTTAAAGTTCCAGCTTAACGTTATTTCGGCTTCTTTTAAACGTAAATCCACTATAAGCCTACAATGATATTACGCAACGTGTTTAATAACCCGTCTAAGTTAGAAACGTATCCAACGCAATTAGCAGTCGGTTCTTAAGCAACGTGGTAAATACGAGCGTGTGGTTTCAATTGGACGGGATTATACCGTAATATAACGAGCGTGTAATAATGCGATACGAGCGCATAAGTCACGTGTAATTAGACGGCCGTTTTGCAACGTGTCGTTCAACTTTCGGCACGCGTGAGTCAGCCGCGATACGCGTTCATTAGCGAGCAATCCGCGGCCAATATGCGCGCAAATAATTGAACAGTTGAGATCGAATTGTCTCTCTCCGTTCGCGTACCAATCTTATTTAATCTGCGCCGCGTGAGCACGTGTCCATTCGCGTAACTTCAAAGAAGACTGTGTGCACTTGGCGCGAGATTTCCTTCCTATATCGCGAATGAAGTTAACGAGTTGGAGTGTGTCGATACGGGATTGTCGCGCGTAACATCTGTGAGAATTCGTGACGAAAAATCGAACACTGTCCAAGTGATTTTATTTAACAACAAAACAAAATAGGTTTCAATCTAACTGTTCGCGAAAAATCCTTATCGATTGATACTTAGACCGAAAGTTCTTTTGCGACTGACAACGACATTGTGGGGATTACGATATATAGTTTTAAATTGATCTTTGTAATCAACAGCGCGAAATACATGTTTTTTTTTTATCAGTATGTGATATCAGGGAAACAGAGAGAACAGATCATAGTTCAAACACACTGTACGATTTCTCTTCGGTTTCTCCATTATTTGCACGACGTATACTTTGCATTGACTTTTTTTTCATAACGATCCCTAAACACTATTGTCAGGCGATCGAGCGTTACCATCTCCGTTTACGATCGATGACAGACAGTGTCCAGAATGTTTTATGCAAATAGCCATTGTCTATCTTGACATTGACGCGATACCGGGAGATTTGTTTTGCGCTTCTTTATGCGGCGTCGTCGCCGCACCGTAGAACGTAACGCATCCATGTCGCGAATGCAACACTATGATAAACTTGACTCTCTCTTTCTCTCTCTTTCGCTCTCACTCTTTCGCTCCCTGTCTCTTTCTCGCTTTTGTGTAAAGATACTCGTAAAGATACGCTGTCTCATAAATATGAATTCGGATTCCGCGGCAAACAACGTGAGGGAAAAAGTGCGTTGGGCCAAGGAACTTTGACGGAAAGTTTAGTCGCCGTACGATGCAATCCCCGACGATGCTTTAACGGGACGCAAAACGTTTGTTGTCACGAATTATGAAATTCCACTAACATGGAAAAATCTCTCGTTGCAACTTAAATATCAATTTCCGTTTTGTTTGCTCTTACATTTTACATTAATTCCGCGTATTACTTTATTGCCGGCTGTGTATCTTAATTGGCTCGTAAAGCATGAATGCTTCATACGTCTTGTTTTTTCTTTTTGCATATCTTCTAACAGATAAACCGTTGATTAAACCGCGTAAATGAGAGAACTGTTATCCGTTAAGGCAGCTCAAGATATTAAAATTTATTCCCATATCTCTCCCTAGTTATTAACATTTATTTCGATGTTTGAAAATCCAAACTGATATCCTAACAATAATCTTAAAATCGGAAAGTAGGAGAGAAATTAATGAAATGGTTTATAGTTATCATGAATCAGTTTATTCTTTCTTAATTACTTGTATGCAGTGCACGATTGTAGAATTTTGTTCTCCGCCAAAGATCGGTGAAGAGATCTTCGAAGTCGAGGAGGGTCTCTCGTTGTTCGTCTCGTGAGCTCTCTACGTATGTTTCCTATTTATTCCGCAGCCAAATCGACACCGGATGATCGAAGCTCGTTAAATTACGTGCCACGACTAACTAAAAGGTCCCACCCTGTGACCGCGTAGGTCCTTATCCTTTTGCCTCGTCTCTTCGCAGTTCAATGTAAATCACTGTCCAATAGCACACTGAGAGGAAAAGAATGTTAGAAAAAATAATAGAAAAATGGTAATATGCACATAAGATTATTATCACTAATATTATAGTAGAAATTAATTTAAAGAATGGTTCTCTTGATCATAATTCATAGTAATTATTTCTCTATGTGATTATAGTTGCAAATACCAAACATTTTTTCTCAGTGTGAAACGTGAAATATTTTAAACTTTGTCTGAATATTTAACTGATGATTTCATCAACTGATGATTGATCTCAAAAACGCACTCGGAATACGCGGAAAAAGTATTGTAGTAAAAATTACGTGAAAATTATATATTTTTACAACATTTTTTGTAAAGTTAAACTATATTAAAATTGCAATATAAATTCGACTAATAGTAAATTCGACAATCTATCTGACATACAATAT